TTATAAAAATCATCCAAGTTAAGCTCTCCAGCTCAAAATGGTATGATTTCTAACTCATATTCTTAATGCCTCAAATACTTCCCATCAAACCTAAATCTTAGATTTAGGAGCCACCGACACATAAAAACCTTGCAAATCTTTTTCACACCTATCAACCTTGCCACAGTAATAGAAAAATAAAAGTAGCTGATGAACCCTTCACTATTATTGTAGGTCACAGGAGTATTTAATTTCGTCTAAATTTATCCTTACAAATATACTACATATTCCACACCTAATAAATTTCTATTAATCCAAAATATTACTAAGAACACAATTGCAAAGTAACATTTTTTTATTAATTATTGTATATTTTAGAACCTCACTACAGAAAAAATAATTGGGCAAACTAGAGAAAATAATAAGCTATACATTCCTAAAGACAAACTACTTGTTATGTTCATTTATCTCCACTATCAAAATAAAAATTATTTGGAAGCATCAATATAGGCTAGCTCTTTCAAAATTCTACAGCATATTTTTCTTTTTTCTTTTATGAATGTTAACATTAAAAACTTTCGTTGTGAGACATATGAAATTACAAAACACCATTGTATTTCTTTTTATAAAATAGATTCTAGATCATCTATTAATTTTATGTTAGTTCATGCTGATATTTGAGGGCACTCAAAAATTTCTAATATTTTTTGAACTATAGGATTTGTAACTTTCATTAATGATTGCACTTGAACAATATGAGTAATTTTATCAAATAAAAATTTGATGCCAACTTTATTCTCCCAACCTTTTTACTATGATAAAAAATAAATTTAATGCTAACATCAAGATGTTTTACACAAATAATACACGTGAATATATTAATCAGACTTCGCCTTTATTCTTCGATGAATAATGTATAGTTCATCAATCCTCCTATCCTGATACCCCCAATAAAATGAGGTGGCATGAAGGAAAAAAACATCACTTTCTAGAAGTAAAAATTATTTTTTTGTTCAAAGATTAAGTTCCAAAAAAAATATTAGGAAGAAACAATCTTAATTGTGATATACTAATAAAAAAAATACCCTCAATGATAATTGGCTTCAAAAGCCCTTGAATTATCTTGTGGAATTCTTCCCAACAAAAAACTAAAAATTTTTTCCAAAAATAGGAGTGTATTGTCTATGTTCACATCCACAAACAATACCAAGATAAGCATGATCCTAGAGCACTCAACATTATCTTTTTAGGATATTCCTCCACTAAAAAAAAGATATAAGTGCTATCATCTAACCACCAAGACAATTTTAACTTCAAAAGATATCACATTTGATAAAATGCAAAATTTCTTCAATCAAATTTATGTTAAGTGAGAAAACCAACTGAAAGATAAATTTGATTAAAACACTACTAACTTTCATCTTCATAACTCAACTACGCAAACTCCAATTATCATGCCCCTTCAAGTTTATATAAGGAATAAGCCTAGCCAACGTTTCTAAGCCCAAGACTCAAAACCATTATTAGGTAACAATGATTAAACCCATCATCACACATTCTCCTCTATAGTCAATTACTCAATACACATTCTTTCAAAATGTTTCTCCATATAAAGCATTCCTTATAAACATCAACTCCAACTCAATTAAAATATCAAAAATCTTTTTTCGAGGCACTAGAAAATAACAGGTGGAAGGATACCATAAAAACTAAAAAGAGATGAAAGTCCCGGAAGAAAACCACACCTTGGACATTATTTAACTACCAAAAGGAAAATATATATATATATATGATGTAAATAAAATTTTTCATTAAAATATAAAAAAGATGAAACCTAGAATGATACAAAACAACATTAGTAGTCGACGGATATACTCAATCCTATGAAAAATTGACTATAAAGAAATATTTGCACATGTGGTAAAAATGAACATAATTCATATTCTAATGTCTATGGTCACCAACCTTGAATGGTCCAAAGTGAGGGTAGAAATGGAAAAGTATAAATAACAAATAAAATACATGAAAATAAATAGACACGATCGTAGCCGTTGATCTTCGATGTCCTCATCATATTTCTTACAAGGGGATATTGAAGACGAAGTTTATATAGATCCACCACCAAAATTCGACAGCTCTTTCATCGAAAATAAGTTGTGCAAATTGAGAAAGGCATTTTATAGTCTCGAATAATATCAAAGAGCATGGCTTGGCATATTCAAAAAAAATCATGTACAAAATAAGTACAAACAAAGTCAAGGAGGCTGTATCCTTTTCATACATCACTCAAATGATGAACGATTTTGAATTCTCGTTATATATGTTTATACTTTATAACATAATTATTACAAGTGAGACAGTGAAGGAAAGTGATCACTTAAAATGCCTGTTAAAAAATTCGAAATCAAGAAACTAGACAAACATAAATACTTCCAAAGTACAGAGGTTGCTCAATTAATAAAAGAAATTTCTGTCTTAATAAAAATATATTATGGACCTATTAATGAAAGCAAAAATGACTTATTCTAGGTTGTGTGAAACTCCAATTGAACCAAATCAAAAACTGGATGCAGTGAAGAGGAAACATAAGTGGAAAATGGACAATATCACATAAAATTGCCTTTATATTAAGCTTATTAAACCAATTTATGCCTCTACAACTTCAAGGTTATATTAATATTGATTATACAAGGGTATTGATGGTTAGAAGATCCACTTAAGGATAGTGTACACTTTTGGTAGGAAATTTTATCACATGAAGAAGAAAAAAATAACTTATCATTTCAAGATTCAACACTAAATCTGAACTCAGAGCAATTGTTTAAGGTATCTAAGGACTCCTATAGATTAAGATCATTTTAAGATATTCAAAAATCAAATGGGAAGAGCCTATAACGATATATTATAATAATAAATTTATAATCAACATTGCTCACAATCTTGTTCAACATGATCATAATAAACATGTTGAAGTGGATATATATTTCATAAAGAGAAAAAAAAAACTAGAAAGTAAATTGCTCTGCACTTCATATGTCTCAATAAGAAGATAACTTATCAACACATTTATCAAAGGACTTAACAATCCCACATTCAAAAATATTATAAGAAAAATTGGAATGGTATATCTCCATCATCTGGTTTGAAGGGGTGTTGAAAGGGTCTTCAGATCAAGAGTAGCCGACAAGATTGCTAAATAAGAAAAACTAGAAGCCACATATGCAAGAAAAGAAAGAAAGAGCCCTTTGATGGCTTCCTTAGCATCTATCGGCAATCCCTACTAGATCAAACAACAGAGACTCAAGGGCGAACAGTGGCTGGGAGGCAGACAACAGCTAGGGGTGGTTTTTTTTATTATTATTATTGTAATAATTTATTTCTTTTTTTTTCCTTCTATGTAATTTTGTGCTTAAATACCCATTAAAAGAATGAACAATCCAAGCTTTCTAGCCACTTCTTTTCTACATCTTATTATCCAATAATCATCTTCTTATCCAATAATCAAATATGTAAGACAACAAATAAGAGAGGTGAAGATTCTAATCAAGTTAGATGCATTAGAAGCAAAGATAATAAGATCTGAATTAAAGATAAAGACATCAAGAAAAGATGGAATATGAAATATGAGATATTAGCTATATCCACATATTTGAGGTCAAGTTAAGTAGTGGCACATCACCTATTGGTAAGTTCCTTGCCAATCCTTGCTCAATCGTAAGTACAATTGGGTTAAGTTGTGGAAAGTCAATTATAAATAACATTGTAGCCAATCTTTCCTACTTTTCAACATAATCGGATCAAATTACGATATGTCATTGGGACGTGATATCCTAACCAAATGTCACAATAGGGCTAAATCATGGTGCTTCACTTGTGAGTGATGTCCTAGCAAACTATTACCAAATTCTCACCATAATTGGGTTATGTAATGGCATGCTACCTTTGGAGAATGTTCTACTACAGGAAAATTTTAATTTTGGATTCATCTCGTTAATTTTAGTATAAGATTCTTGATTTGTTATCAACCTAACATCAAATCTCAATCATTTTAATTCAAACTTAGTATACCCGAATAGCAATTTTCTAGCCAGATTGGATGAATTATGTGGAGACATAATCAAAATGTGAAACCAAGAACATTAGTCACTACCAACCTTTTCGAATGTTGATTTGACCAACCTAGAACATTTTTAGCATTACTAAGTTTATAAACACAAATTCATGTAAAAACTAAACATGCTTATGGAGTTTTGAACAATTACAAATATTTCTTTTCATCATACAAGTTTACCTATGAAATGCCTGATAAATTTAAATTAAAAGATATATGAAAATGTGAAAATTTTACAATTTATAATGCATGAAGTACACAGAAATACGAATATTATTAGAAAGACAATGGTCACTATGCTAGCCACGCGACATGTGAATTATCTGGTACTGACACAATATTTTAGCAACTTATAAGGACTCGTAAGCAACATAATAAAGGTTAAAAAATATTGTTTCGCATCTTACAAAATTAATTAGAATTTATTTTTTATGAAGACGTTTATTAACATAATCCTTTATCTTTGAAATTTAGTAATAAAATAATAACTTTGACTAAAAATTAAACTATCAAAAGAACTGGAACCGAAATTATTGCAATAGGACCAAAAAAATGAAACCAAAATCAAATTTAAAACCGTGCACTCACCCTTTTCTATAATCCAATTAAACAGCACTCTAATTTTCATAATTTCTACAAACCAGAAAAATGCAGAGTTGAAGGCTTTTCATTACTTCTTATCAATTAAAAACATGCCTTTAATAAATACAGCGATTTCCTCATACAGCATATACAGAGCATGAGTGGCATAAAGTAGGCAGAAAAATGGAGTTGCATCTCACCAAAAAAAAGGACGAAAGAGATAATCGAATAATGCATATATTGTCCAACTTAGATAATCCAACCATCCAAAAAATAACCATTAAGTAGAAATTGTAGAGTAGTACAGAATGATTTGTAAAAGACTCACCCAAAGATGTCCATGAGTAGAGAGACTTCCTCAATATTTGGTTCTTCCAGAATCTGAATCATAGAAAAATTTAACCTGCGGTTAACCTCATGATCAGCAAGAACACTTTCTACGTGATTATGGGATGAGAGGACCTCAACATCCATGAAAGTGGAAATGTCATTCTCAAAAATCCACCAATAGGACCATCAAAAGTATGTTCAATAGAATATACAGATAAATGCCAATATTCAATCTGATTATGCTTGGCTTATCTGGAAACTACAACAAGAATATGATAAAAATATTAATATTTTTTATTATATCAAGAGACCGTGCTTCAGCATTTTCGTAGAGCAAATACATAAAGTGGATAGATAGCAATATGAATTAGTCTGTTAGAAAGATATTCAGTAAGAAAGAAAATAGGAATGCAAAAACCTTATGGAGGTCAACATGAAAGAACTTTCCCCAAATGAAATTTGAAAAGGATAGGGTTTTTATTTTATATGTTCATTTTTACTTTGTGGTGATCTAACTTGAAAAGGAAAGGTTGAAGATTGTGAATGCAGTAAACTAAAATGGATTATAAGGGTTTGGAAAAAACAAGCAAACCTAATGCATACAGCTTCCGCCAATGCAGCGTCAAGGACTGGGATAAAATAATTAATGAATTTCAATTCTAGTAATACTAATCCTCATAAGAAATGCAAATGGCGCATAAATGAATTTCAAGATGAAAATCATGAATTCTTCATTAAAATTTTTTGAACAAGAAGAAAACAAATAGTGAAATTGTAAGCACAGAATGGCACAATGACAATAATGATCAAGAGAACAGATGACGTACAAAGAAAATGCAGGAAAAACTAGCTACGAAACATGGGATGTTGTAAAGAGGAATCAATCAAGAGAAGAATCAATGAGGCCATGTCATGCTCAAAACGTACCCAAGAAGACCTCTATACCAAGAGTGATGCGGACATCCAACCGTCCATGCCAATCCGAGGAGGAGCTGAAGATCGACGATCGAGATCACTTTGCTTTATTTTCATTGTTAACATGCATGCCTACTTTTGTAAAGAGGAATCAATCAAGAGAAGAATCAATGAAGCCATGTCATGCTCAAAACGTACCCAAGAAGACCTCTATACCAAGAGTCATGTGACTCATTCACCTAAAGGATTGTTGCTGATCAATTGCAACGCCAACATGGCCCCAACTATCCAATTAGGCACCAAATTCCCGTAACTACCATAAGTGTAAACCTGATTTCTTGTAATAAATTGTTCTGCCTTTTTCTATCCGACATATCTCTCTTGTATAAACGGAGAGTCATATTCTTCCTCACAATATAATTATCTAGTTCTTACTTAATGATATTATGTATTCTTGACTCCAAATAAGAATCCATATCACCCATTTTCATTTCAGGACCTCAAAACATCTACTTGATGTATTAGTTGGATCCTGTTCCACTGTCCCACAAGCAATTCCGTGTCAGCCGGTATCATAGAGGTTTTATGGAACCTTGGTGCATGTTACTAATAAAAAGAAACAAGAAGAAGATTGGAGAACCACTCTTTGCCATAGATCTCTTAAGGAAAAAAAGACAGAATGTTGTGATATCAACTTCAAAGAAGAAAACTTGGGCAACGTAGCTACCCAAGTTGCACTGCTTAAACAACAAATAGTTCTGGTAAAAATGACGACCAACCAAATCTTGGACGTAAACTAAGAAACAATCAACAAAGAGAATTAATCCCAGAGAAAGATCTCATTATTACAACTGTGGGAAGTTATGGGCTCTAAAAATTCCTAAATTTATATAAATTTAAATGATTTTGAGTTTCAGAAGACAAACTGGACATCAAATAAGATATTACCAAGAGCTTTTTCCCTCAAATAAGGACTTCTTAATATAGTTCGAGATTTTTTTACAGGTGTAAGCACCTATTATTAATTACTCTTCTTGATTACAATAGAGCAATTTTAATTAAGCTAGCTTATAGGCACTAGAAAGTGTTCAAGTAGCAGCAATTTGAATTACAGGAAATAATATATCATTATTAACCCATAGTAAATATTGATGAATGATGAGAAATCCAATCAAGATCCCATGATTTTATCGCATCCAGTTATCATAGATCTTGGTCTACTTAGTCAGCAGAGATAGTCTACCAAACCGAACCATGATTATGAGTTGTTTTATCTAAGGGTACCTTGTGTGCCTAAGGAGGCAGCTTACTGAAGAGGCCAAATTTTAGTATCTTATGGCTCGCAACTTGCTAACATAGCCATTAGGGATCATCTGGGCATAAGCAATCAGGAAAATATAATAGTGTCTCGCATGCATGCTGACCACTCAAACATAGAGCACATGTCATGTCCTTATTGTAATAAGATTTTCAGTGTGATCGTATTGAAAACTTGATATAAAATTAGCTTTTTTATGAGCTCTAGTTAAACTTAAATTTTTCAACCTTGGCAAATCAGTGCAGAGAATGAATGAATGTTTTCTCCAAGAACAAACAGTCAGCTATTGCTTGAGCTTTTTTTTAATATTTTGTAAAGCAAACTTGGATTTAAAAGGAGTTCCATTCGGTTAGGCTATTATTATAGAAACACCCATCTAAAAAGTGATCTGAAGTGCATTTGTCTAAGAGCGAGCATTTTTTATAACGAATTTCCCCTACAATTATGATTGATGATCATTGCACCCATCACAGGAAACAATTGATCAAAATATATATTTATAATTGTGACCTTCATTTTGATACTAAACCCCTCCTGCTATATTTTTTTTATCACCAAATCATTATCGGAGTGAGGAATCTTAGAATTGAAGTTGAGGCCCTATTAAGCTGATGTTTTAGATCCAACTAGATTTCTTAAACCGCTCAAAAGTCTACTTAACATCAAGGATTCATAGATGAAAATTGCAAGTGACCTTTCAATATAAGGCATACATTAAAGGAGGTTCAGCATTGGAATTGAAGATTAATTCTCCTTTGCTTCATAAAACCTAGCTGGAGTGGTTGGAGACCAGTCTTTTTGGCCAGGTGAAGGACATTGCAAGGACCATGATGTGGAAAGAGGGGGGTTTTGTGTTTTTTGCATATGGAACAACATTTGGGCCAATGGCTGCTTGGGGTAGCTGAAAAGCAACCTCTAGAAACCATTTGAATTATTTGGAGCAGCCAATTTAGTCGGGTTGGCTTTTGGTCCATGAATTTGGGCTTTGGAGGGCTTTGTTCAACCCAATTGATTGAACCAAGTAAAACCATGGGTTGGGCTTGTTGGATCATGTGCATAGGGTCATGTGACATCTACTACAGCAGCATTTGGAATTTAATTTGACAAGGGTTGGGATTTGATTCAGGAAAATCCCTTTTGGTGCACTCGGTTCAACCCAAATGGCTAAACCAGTTGGGTCAAGGGCTAGAATTTTTTCAGGAGACTCATATTGACCCAATGGAGTGTGCTCATGAGTTTGGTTGATTGGTTTGGTCAAAATCATGAGTTTTGAATTTTTTGAGGCATTTAGGTGTGTTTTGGTCAACTCAAGTGTTCATTTGGCCAACCAGGTCTGACTATTGGACCTGATAATATTCCAATTGAAGTGTGAAAATGCTTAGGAGATCAAGGGATATTTTAGCTTACTAAACTTTTTAATATTATTTTTAAGACTAAAAAAATATCAGATGAGTAGAGAATGAGTTTATTGGTTATCATTTGTATAAATAAAAACGATGCACAATAGTGTGTTACGATGCACGAAAGCGTGCTAATTATAAAGTAATTAAGTTAATGTATAATGTATTATAATTATGGGAGAGTAATTAAACATAGATTATGACATGATACTAATGTTTCTCAAAATCAGCTTGGATTCATGCTAGGAAGGTCAACTATGAAAGCTATAAATTTGTTGAGAGATTTGAAGGAAGTATAGAGAAAGTAAAGACGATCTGCATATGATATTATAGATTAAGATAAAGTATATGATAAAGTTTAAAAAAAAACACACTCTAAAAAAATCTAGAAAAGAAATAAGTTAATAATACTTATAATCAAGTCATTGAGGATATCTATACAGCAGATATTAATTGTGTTCAAACATAGTGGTTTGACCAAGTGTTTTCCTATTTTAGTTGGATTACATCAAGGATCAGCTTTAAGCATATATCATTTTGCTTTAATCATGGGTTTTCTTACTAAACATTTGCAAGAGGATGTACATTGGTATATGCTTTTTGTTGATGATATTCTTCCATTGATAAGACTAGAGAGGGAGTCAATAAAAAACTTGAATTATAGAGGTCAACCTTAATTCTAAAGATTTTCATTTGAGTGGATCTAAAATAAAATACATTGAGTATAAATTTAGAAAAATAGATCTAGTGGTGAGATTGTGACATTAGGTGATCAAGTCATTAAAATGAGTGTACGTTTTAGATATCTAGGGCCTATTGTTCAAAGCGATGGTGAAATAGATGTAGATATTGCTAGGAGAATTCAAGTTGGATGGTTGAAGTGGAGGAATGAATTGGTTCTATTGTGTGATAAAAAGTACCTCTCAAACTTACAGGAAAACTTTATAAGATTGTGGTGAGACATGTAATGCTTTATTGTCAGAATGTTGGCCATTAAAAGAGAAGCAGAAAATTAAATTAAGTGTTACAGAGATGAAGAAGCTCAGGTGGATGAGTAGCTTTATACTTAGAGATAAAATGTGAAACGAGTATAAACGTGAAAAGGTTGGTGTGGCTTCGGTGGCGCATAAGATTAAAGAGAGTCGCTTGAAATTACCTCTTTTATTATATTTAAATGAGAATTTGACTCTTAATATTACATAGCAGAGAAAAAAAATTCATGTAACCAATCTCATGAAGTGATATAAAAGTTTGTTGTTGTTGTTGTTGTTGTTGTACAAATAATTGAGGGATTATTTTGAGCTTTAGGATACATCAAGGGACAAAGATTTGTGTTAAGAGTGGCAAAAGTTTTATCCAATTTCTATCAACACAGTCAAAGAAGCATCCAAAAAGTTTTATAAATTATAAGAAAATTAGAAATAAGATGCAAAATGGCATATCCATCATATCCATGCATTAAAGTGTATGAGATGGTATCCAACGTGACCAAACAACTCTCTAGAAATGTCTAAACTAAAGTAAAAACTCATGGAAACAAAAACTTCATCTTCTAAAACAACAAATTGATTATCATCAAAAACATTAAGTACAAAATTATCCAAAAATACCCTAATCCAGGCCAGTAGCCAACAAATCGAAAAACTCAAAATGGATGCATTGCAAGGGTGCTCATAATTAGGGGATGACAACTGCCTAACTATCTTGTATCACTCCATGCTATTGCTTTAAATTGTTCAAAGTAAAGAAAATATTAAATTCACTCCAAACCAAAAGTAAAATGTTTACAAAGTTATTGAGCGAGAAATGAAAGAGCATGTAACCAAAAAAAAAGTATGCAGACTCACCATAGACATAGTCATGCCTTCAAGAGCCTGACTTTGAAGAAACATTTCATGGAAGTTTATGGGTTGACCTTCCTGGTCAGAATCAAAAAATAGAACCTGTCACCAGAACACATAGAAAGAAAAATTAAATGAACTCAATTGTTCAAATTCCATGTATAAGGGCCATCATTTGAACCAAAAAATTATATACTACAAACTTGGAACATATCAAGCAATGAGATAAAAATCAGAATGTTTCCATCAACTGTACAGCCATCGACTAATAGTCCAACAAGAAGAACAAATTGGTGGGAGAAACAAAGCAGTATTGATACCTTATATTAACTGATAGATTATATTAACTAAAATTAATGTTTAGCAACATATTATGAACTCCAAAGAAACCTTTCTCGACATCTGCGCTACAAACAGATTGGTAAAATACAACAATTGCTAAAACTATGGAGTGAGTAGGAACTTCTCAGGAAACTCCAAATTTCTGCAAAAAAAATAAGGATTTTCCTAATATAGGATGAAATTTTTCTACATGAAAATGATGAAAACCAAAAGTAGTTCAAATTAAATGGGGCATCAAAAAAGAAATAGAAATATAAATGAAAGACAAGACATAGCATTTAAAATTAAAATAATTTGAGAAGACTCATTGCATAACTATATGCATGCGCCTTAATTTAAGTCACAAAATAACTATAAAATTAAAAAAGCATTCACCAAACTAAAACAGTCAGCGACATGGTTGAGGACTCATGAAACCCTAATGTCTTCATTCAATTTAAAGAATTAAAATAAGGATCACACATTTATGTCAATTTTTCATCTCTCAAAAAAAAAACTATTTCAAATACAAGGAACTAAAATGAGCACAGCTAATTTTAAATGGTATCATAGGATTCTTAGCACATCACAAAAAATCAACTGCCTATATCCTGAACTAGTGGAGGAACTTTACATTGTTTTTAACATCAGAAATTCAAGCTAAATCAAATCTCACAGTTGCTCAAAAGCATATTTATATTAAAAAAAAAAACGTGTTTCATCGATTGTTGAAAGCAAGAAAACCAACAAGTAGTTTTCAAAATAGTTTGGCACGACCAATGATGTAGACAAAGGGGGGTCAACTCATGTCAAAAATAATTAGATTTTTGGCTTCCCTTGAGTCTACTATTTGAGCTGAAATTTTAGCTCATTTATGAACTGATCTTTAGTTCATTTATTGAACTAAGGGTTAGCTCATTATTAGCTATGATTTTAGTTCATAGTTATTTTTTTATTAAATGTATTTTTATGTTTTAATGTTTTAAGTTTTAATGTCTTAAAGTTGCCTCTTGGGTTTCCAAAAAGGGCTTTTGGAATCCCAAGTTACTTGTTTAGTCTTCCCATGGTGGCTCCTTGAATTCCACCATGGCTTTATGTGCTTTTGCCCCATTGGATTCCGGCCGGCTGCTGGTTTCCCGTGCCTGTGCTCCCTCCCGTGACCGTGCCCCCTTGGTTCCGCTCGGCCTCCTTGGCTCCCGCGGCTACCTCTTCGGTTTCTTGGCTTGGGCTGTTTTTGCGTGAAAAGCATTTGGGTTTAATGCTTTTGATGCTTAGTTTCTTGTGTTAAAATTAATGTAATGTGTCTCTTTGTATTCCCTTTCATACCTATATATATGGGGGATTGCTTATGTTTGAAAGAAAGTAATGAAAATGTGATTTTTGGAAAAGTTATAACCTGCGGGTTTGCTTTGGAAATCCTGCGGGCTCTTTCCAACCTTTCTTCTCGGGCTTCTAACCTCTTTCGTCTCTCCGCAAGTGCCACTCCACCTGTATCATTCTTCTCTAAGTGCAGCAACTTTAGGGTGTTTTTTTAATTTTATTTGGAGTCGTTTGTAATCGAGTCGAGTTTGGGTTTTTTAAATTTCTTTTATTTCTTTAATTTCAAATGTAAGAGTTTGTTCGTCCTACTTCTCGTCCTTAGTCATTTTCGTCGGTAGAAGTCCGTCTCTCTTTTGTGATCGAAGAATATAGGCTCCCCTATATTTTTTGGTCGCATCAACCAATAACAAGACGGGCTTCGCAAGTGGGTTGGTCATTCATGCTTAAATGTTCTGGACTGAAATAGAGTTTGGTGTTCTTATATCAATTATTAGCTTTGAAAGTTACAGTCTTCTTAATCAACCAGGACAAGATGGATCAGACAGTATTTTGCCCTCTTTAGTGAACGTTAGTCACTCCCTTTCTGATGTTGAAGCTAGGAAGAGTCAAATTCTATGCATTCTTCCAATTCAGAAAAATAGGAATCCAATTAATGATTGACTTATTAACAAAAGATTCAAAACTGCATTCTCTAAATTTGAGAGAATCTGCAAAAAAAAATGTCATTCTTTCTCTCTCAGGTTCACCAAATTCCAAGTTAGATAAAGGAATACACCCAACGAATTTGGCATTTTGTATTTAGAATGCAGTCTTAGACTTCAGCTGGTGGTAAGTTGTTACTTAGGTTTTGGATCCCTCAACTGTAGATTGTTTCAAAGCTTGATCTCAGGTCTGGAAAAAGATTGTCAGTTTGGTGGGTTGATGTGACGCATCAAATGTGATGGCTCACTTTGCAACCACTTTCAAATGACGCATCAAAAAGCTTGATCTCAGCTCTGGAACTGGTCCAAATTGCTGAAAAGAGCATGCTTCTATTTTAACATCTATTGTATTTCATTTCTCTTTCATCTTTATCGGTCTGTACCAGTATCAAATTCTATATCTGCTTTCACTTCTCTTGTTGAACTATGTTTCATGTGATCCCTCTGACTGAGGTATGTAGGAAGCTAGAAATTGTCTCTAAGACTGTGGAAGGTTCAACTATTTTGTAACTTTCATTTTTAGTTTATGGAAGGGAAGTTACTCGCTTAAAAAATAAAAATAAAAATAAAATCTTCTTTGCAAGTATTGCGTAGGGTTTCAGAATTCTAATGCCATCTTCATTTCAAGTTCTGCATAGGATTTCAGAATACAATGTCAATCGGGTTATGCGATCAAATTTGTTAAGGACGCTTGAAATAGATTCACAGAAAGTTTGGGAAAAAAATCATTACAATATGGATAAGATCAGCAATGTTACACACAATAGAAACCAGAGATTTAATGAAACTACCCACCAAAGAATAATTCTTTGGAACCGTTGGAGAAGAATATGGTAATTCAACCGATTGAGGTGAATCCGCACCCATGCTCTCCTGCGAAGCTCCGCAAATCCTTTCAACTTCTTTCAATGAAATCAGCCACAGCTTCAGCAATTCAACCCTGTCTCTCTCCTTGCAGGAAACCGCAGCTTCCTCCAGTCGCTTCACCGCATACTTGAAGCTCGGATGGTTGTTATTCCCCTGGAAGGAAACAGACAGTCACAAAGGATCAATCAATGACCAATAAATCAGACAAAGAGGATGTGTGATCAACGCACAATCCGGTTTTGAAGAATCCGAGCGCCACCGGCGACGGCCTGTCCGGCGTGCTGAACGACTGTATCAGCGTAGTAGTGGACGGTACGACCAAGGCGCTTCTCACGGCTGACCTCGACGGCGCGTTTTACAACCGTCTTTAGCCACGACATTGCCGTCCACAAGGATGGGCAGTGGCTTGGGGATCAGAAATAGGAGGTAATATAAGGGTGAAATAGGATCGGCGACGAGGGGAGCCAGGGCTCTGTCTTTTACAATGAGATTTCTGAGTAAAGAAGAAGTCAGCAAGGCTCCGCATGGTGGTGACAGGCGGCCGAGGATTCCGGCGGGCTCGCGTATGAACTGCTCCCGTTGCATGAAACAGCCACCGCTGTTAGTTGATCTCGTAGAACAGAACTCAATGAATCATCATGGCGAAGAGGCTAAAATAAAGGGCAATAGCGAGCAAATACCTAGCACTACCGAGCAAATCCCTAGCAATACCAAGCAACTCCTGAGTTGTACCGAGTTGTACCTAGATTTTTCTAGCAATACCGAGCAAATACCTAGCACTACCGAGCAAATCCCTATCAATACCGAGCAAATCCTGAGCAAATACTGAGTTGTACCTAGTTTTTTCTAGCAAATCCTGAGCAAATCCCGAGCAAATCCTGAGCAAAAAAATAAAGCATTCCTGGGTTCCGCTCCGGGTCAAGTCGTCGGGCCGCGCGGTAAAGAGTAAGAACACGTGGCGATATGTTATTGGCGGCCGAACGTACCTCTACGTCAGGTCAGAGGACGTAATAATTGTTCGCAATTGTGATCAATTATGTCATGTAAAAACTAAAAACAACTTGGAAGTATTTTTTCATCACTGTCGCCCTACTGAAAAATTATTACATGTAGAGTTTGTGCATAGAGTTCATTAAAAATATGATGTTTATTTTTATATATAATGTGCATAAAATTTATACACAATGTATACGACTATGTACACTGTGTATATTATGTATATAAATTTATACATACTGTATATAATTTTGTAATTTATATATAGTATGTACATTTATACACAGTATACAAAAGACACTTATCATGTTTTTATTGGAATCCAGATATAATCGAACTCCGCACGTAATAATTTCTACGTCCTACTGCAGTCCCATCAGCCTTCATTGCCCAACTAAGATCACTCTGACCAACATCGACTACAGTCCATTTGACCAAACAACCAAGCCAACAATATCTTAAAAATACTTATCATTATATTGGGTTCTTCCAATTCCAATCATGTGATATATTATATGCAACATATATATTTATAATATTATGTCAATATCTTCCCAATACTAATGAAATCAATACTAATTGAATAATTTCAGTTGGATCAAACAACGTGATTTTTCTCCCTTCCCATAGTTTTTCACTTAAAATTCTAGTGTCTATTATTACTCTTGTGCCACTCTCTTTTATTTGTGTGTACGTATTAGATCTTAGCATGAAACTTTGTTGTTAAACTCACTATCTCTTTACAACCATAGATATTCTGACACAACAAAAATGAATGCAACAGAATAATTATTAACTAATCAAATATTTTATTAATTTCAAAGCAAATGACTAAAAAATTTGTCATTACCAAGTTAATGTCAAGATATCCTTGCCTCAAAATTCTCCCTATTTTAATGTATTTAAAATTAATAATAACCTATTGCTCATCTCAAGCCATCCCAGCCGTCCAATAATGATCACCGCCAAAATCCACACCACCATTGCCGATCATTGCCGTCAGCCTATGCTAGTAGCCACCAGTACCACCAGTCCATCTTAAACCGAGGAGTGTTCTTGCCTTGACATCCTGTTAATTTAAGATTATGCCATTAAGAAAATGGAGCATGGCCAAAATGGTTAATGGTATAAAAGAGATGCAAGTTTAAGAATTAATTATGCCCATTGACTTATTAACTAAATTCTCTATGACTTAAGTGAGCATGTTTTTGAGCCTCCGTGGAAATATAGATAAGGTTGACGACCAAACGAACAGTGAAATTTGACAGCTTTTTCTTGCCCGTTCACTCAGACTATCTCAAACCTAACTGTATATCACTATATGTCGTCCACCATTCGATGCATTCAAACTCCAAATCAAAATTAAGTAGGCATTGAACTGTTCACGTACATCAAAAATTGGGTTGCCGAATTTGCTGAAGAGGAGAGAGATTGTTACCTTCGCAAGAAGCGCATGAAAGAAGAGAAATGAAGTTCAATTGAAGATGAATTACGGCATTTTGAAGTTTTATTGCATTTTAGAATGGAAAATAAAATTTTTGGTTGGAGATGCCCTTACATTAGATGCACAGTCATTCTCTAAATCATATAGTAAGGCCACCCATTAAAGGGCTCTCGCGCTAGAGTGCCCTCAACCCTAGGAGAGATTATTCTGTGCGAACACCGAACGTTAAAAATCATGTTTAAAAAATCAGAACGATTGTACCCAGAAAGAGACAAGGCAACCCAAAGAGTGCCTCGCTACCCCCCCCCCCCCCCCCCCCCCAAGGGATCAAGCCGAACATAAATCTTCAAAATATGGACAATCGGTCATGAGCTATAATATTCACCAAACTCCTGTAATAAGTGAACTTCTGAATTGATATTACCTGTGTGAGCATGTCTATTGGATTCACCTTGATATCTATCTTCTTCAACTGGACATTGCCTTCAGCAATCTAAGTCTCGAACAAAATGGTACCTCACATCAACATGCTTGGTAAGGATGAAAGACTGAATTCGTAGCCAAATATATAGCACTTTGGCTATCACAGAACACCATTAAAGACTTCTGGTCAACTCCCAAATCATCCAATAAGCCCTGCATCCATATTGCCTCCTTCATCGCCTCTGTAACTGTCATATACTCAGCCTCAGTAGTAGACAGAAAAAGTAAACTAAAGTCATGATCTCCAACAGACTGATCCTCCTACCAAAGTGAATAAGTACCAAGTCGTAGACCTACGCCTATTAATGTCAACGTCGTAGTTTGAATCAATATAGCCTACACATAAATCAACAACATATGACTGCCTCTTGAACACCAAGCCTACATCAACTATACCCTTTAGATATATTAGGATACTCTTTTTAGCCTGCCATGGATCATGTATGAACCTGCTCACAACATCAACTGCTTGTGATATATATGACCTGGTACAAACCATGGTGTACATCAAATTGCCAGCTACACTAACATAAGGAATTGATTGCATTTCTTTCCTCTCTTGATCATCCTTAGGACACTGCTCAGAACTCAACTGGAAGTGAGATACAATGGGTATACTCACTGCCTTGCTCGAGTCATCAATCCCAAACTTTTTTAGCACCTTCCAAACTTAAGATTCTTGTGAAAGCCAAACACTTTCAGCTGCCTTGTCCCTTAGAATCTCCTTGCCAAGGATTTTTCAAGCTTCACCACACTCCTTAATCTCAAAATGGGTATACTCACTGTCGTGGTGACTGCTTTAACCCATATAGAGACTTATCCAATCTGCAAACCAAGTTTTTTGAGGCTACATATCCAAGTGATTGTAGCATATAGATATCCTCCAATTATTCGTGTAAGAATGCAATCTTCACATCAAGCTATTCCAGAATCAGATTGTAGTGAGCTATAAGCGCTAGGAGACCACGGATTGAGGGATGTTTGACCACTATGGAGAACAATTCATCATAATCAATCCCTTCTCATTGTGCAAAGTCTTTTGCCACAAACCAGCCTTATGCCTCACTTCCTCTCCATGAGATCATTCATTCTTTGCATACACCCATTTGCACCAAATGCTTTTCTTATTGGAGGAATCTTCACTAACCTCTAAGTAGCATTTTTCTGAAGAGACTTCATCTCTTCATTCATAGCCTCTTACAAAGATCACCATCGGTCTAATGCTTCCTTGTGGTAACTAGGAATTTCAGCCTCTATAGTTAAAAGTGTAAATGTAATGTAGTCCCTCAACTAAGTTGGCTTTCAGGCATTTTGATGCTTGGTCCTATTCCTCGCAATAGATTTCTAAGCAGGAATCTCATCCTCAATATCATCTTTTACCTCCTGGTCTGCAGCTGAATTAGGTACCTAAGTGGAAATGATTGGCTTTTGTGGAACAAATGGATTTGCATCAAACTCCAGCTTCTTCAGTGCATATGTGGTCCCAATGGAACTCTCCACCTGCTTAAAATCTTGAGACATCAACATGCTCTCCTCATCAAAAGTAATATCCCTACTGATGACAATCTTCTTCACTACTTGATCATATAGTTTGAAGCACTTGACTCCACACCTAAAGCCAATAAAGATTGTTTTCTTTGCTCTTGGTTCCAGTTTATCATTCTGAATATGATAATAAGATGGACACTCGAACACTCTTAAATGATGATAATCTTTAACAGGATGCCCTGATCACATTTCATTTGGTGTTTTCTTCCCAATGGCTGCAGATAGCAGACATGTAAAGACCATTTTCCTCCCAGGTTCGTCCGGACAAAGTTGGATCGTCCGGGACGATCGGTACAGGTTGTGCAAGAAAATGTTTCTGGCTGCATGGTTCGTCTTGACGAAATTTGGATCGTCTGGACGAAAATTTTTCATAGGACAAGTCGTCAGGAACGCTAATTAATTTCGTCTGGACGAAATTCGTCCAGAGCCCAAATCGTCACGGGACGAAGTTGCGATCGTCCAAGACGATCAGTCTGGATATATATTGGAATGAGATTTTTTGGAAAGAGAAAGGACGTCCATGAGAGAGAAAAACGAAGGAAAAGAGGATTTTTGGGCGACTCCGGTCTGTTTTCGTTTGTTGCTGTTATAGAAGTTGACCGACTCGAGGTAAGGCACATCCCGCCTTTCTCAATTTTCAGAAATGTGGATTTTGATGACTTTTCTGTTCCGGATTTTGTTTCCGTTAGCGAATTTTTTGTATTATTTTTTTCTGACAAAGATTTTACCGCGTAACTTTTGGTATGTCTCTGAGATGATATTGTGCACGTTTTGAGTATTTTCTAGAAGATTTTTATCGGATATTTTGACTTCTGCGGTTTTTTAATTGAAGTGCAATTTATCAGGATGTTGAAAAATATTTTGTCAGTACAGTAAAAGTCTTACAATGTTGTTGTGAATGTTCTGTGGCAATTTGGTAAATTTCTGAATCTGTGAATTTTGTGTAAATTCCGTATAATGTCGTTATGCCGCTGAATTTTCGTACGAATTCTGATTTTTCTGAATTGATACATTGAATGAATTGAAGTGTTTGTATGCTATAAAAAGGGAGTTATAAGGGGGCGGAATCCTTTGTGATTCTGATGTCTGGGTCCGGGAAATCTGAAAATCTGAAATGAGCTCTGAAATCTGAAAATAAGTTCTGTTCCGGAATTCCGAATATCTATTCTGTTCTGTTCTGATGCTATAAGCACAAAGGGATGCATAAGGGGCCAGAATCCGTTGAGATTATGTCAATGTCTGGGAAGGGAGGCATAAGGGATTAGAATATGTTGAGATTCTGTCAGGGTCAGAGAATCTGATGTTTGATATCTGATAATCTGTTATGTGACTTATCTGATCTGTTTTATTTCTGTACGATTCTGGTTATTCCGTACGATTATGTCTGCTCTGTGACATGAAAGCTTTATAATATCTGTTCTGAACTATGATTTGAAATGACTTCAGTTTTCTGTATCCGTAAGCTAAATTCTGATTGATCAAGTATCTGTTCTGTCTGTTTTACGATTTCTGTACGGATATTTTCTGATGTGAATTTCTGATGATTTGGATTGGTGAGTGATGTCTTGCTGAGCTGTTAGCTCATCCTTGCTTTCTGCGTGATTTTCAGGTTCTGGGAAAGGGAAGGAGATCTTGGACTAGACGTTCTGAGTCTGATCTGTGATTAGGTACTTGATATTTTTGATTTTTGTGCAGTCATGACTTTTCTGTTCTGTTCTTTTTGTCTGAAGCCATGGACTGTATTGTATATGTTTATTTTTAGGAAAGAAAAGATAGATAAATCATTCTGCATTTGGATGTTTATAGTAGCTCTGTGTTTTTCTGTCTGTTTAATACTTGGAAGAAAGTTCTGAAGCAAATTCCAAAACTAGATCCTGGATTTTTTATAGATCCGTCGTGGCCCGATGCGAGCGGGATCCGTCCCGGTCGGGTTGGGTCGTGATAAGACAGATCACCAAGTGAAAGACATAGTATATTGCTTCAACCCAATAGACTATCCAACCCAGCATTGAATAACATACGCCGAACTTTCTCTACAAAAGTCAAATTCATCCTCTCTACCACACCGTTCAGCTGCGGTATTTCTCTAACAATGAAGTGGTGCTTTATCTCATATCTATGGCACCCCTGCAAGAATGTATCCGAAGTGTATTTGCCCCCATAATCTAATCTGATACACCATGTCTTTTTGCTAGTATGATTCTCAATCCACTTCTTTCAAATTTTAAAGATATCCAGTACCTCGCTTGTGCGCCTCATGGTGTACACCCAAACATATTTAGAGTAATCATCAATAAAAGAGATAGAATACCTCCACCTACCGAATGATGTTGTCTTCGTTGGGCCCCAAATGTCTGTGTGAGCATACTCCAAGATACCCTTTATATTGTGGATGACAATGCCAACAGATACCCGTGTCTTCTTGCCAAATACACAATGTTCATAAAGTTTAAGCTTGCATGTACTTGCTCCTTTAATCAGTCCTTTCTTCTCCAATGTTGTAAGAGAAATCTCTCCAGCATGAGATAATTGCATATGCCACAATATAGTGGTATTAGAATAATCATCAACAACAACAGTCATTCCAATCACAATTCTTCCTTGAAGATAGTAAAGGTTAGGGTGACAGACTTCCTTCAAAACCATCAATGCTCCATGATACATCTTCAGAACTCTGGCCTCAATGACTACCTTATAGCACTTAGTCTCTAAAGCCCCAACAAACAACAAATTCTTCCTGACATCTGGAACATGTCTCGCATAAGTCAGCTCTCTCACAATATTACTATGCATTCTGATAATAATGCTCCATAAACCAACAGTATAATAGGCTAATCATTTTTCATGGTCACAACACCACTATCAAGTTTCTTGTAAGTATAGAACCACTCTCTAGTGGGACAAATGTGAAAGGTAGCACCAGTATCTAATATCCAGCATGAACTATCAGTGTACAGGCTCTAAGGAACTACTGATAGTGATACATCAGAGTCTCATTCACATTCTTCCATGATAATGTTTGTCTTTCCCTCTATGGAAACTCCATTTCCCTTCTCCTTCAGCTTCGGACAATCCTTCTTCTAGTGACCAGTCTCCAAATAAAATGCACACTGATTCTTTCCCAAGACTGCACCCACGAGACTTGTCCTGCTTGTTGCTACTGCCCTTTCTATTCTTCTTTTGTTTAGATCTTCCTCATTGGAGTTTGAAAGCCTCAGCCAAATCCATCTTTGCAGATGTCTTGTCCCTACGTCAGAACTTGTGATTCAGCAATGCATTATCACCTCAATAATTCAAGACCTCCTTCTCATGATGAGTGTCATCAAGAAGTTTCTTACTCATTCGGGAGCGAAATCAATAGAAGTGTCTTGTCTTCATCCCCATCATCTCCATCCAGATTCAAAAGATCTATCAACAGCTTTGTTAATTCATTCAAATGCTGATCAATTGTAATCTCATGCCTAACCTGTAGAGCCGGTGCTTCATATGAAGTAGATTCTCCACACTCTACGTCATGTACTTGTTCTCCAAGGTCTTCCACAACTTCACATCAGATGTCTCAATTATCACCACGTACTTTATCTTTTGAGACATGCAATTTCTGATCAAGCCACAAGCATTCTGGTTCATCTTCAGCCAATCTCTTTCAAAATCTCCTAAGCACATTCATTACTCTCCGGAACTTACTCCAGATTCAACAAGCAAAACACATCCATCACCTCACATCGGCACATGTCATAGTTTCCTTTGCTGTCAAATTTCATCACATCACATCGATTTTAACAGGATGTATAACCACCTAATGGATCAGCGCCTTTTCCACACAATCAAAGCGGATATACCCATAACTCCTGATTTTGTAGCCTCTACCAATTTTATAGCCGCTCTACGTAGCCGAAATTACAAAATTCACTTCACTTTCTACACTAATGATCTAGAAGAAAAACAACAGTCCAGATCACGAGCACCTTCGGCTCTTCTCCATACACACACGAGAGGCACATCACCGACCCAGGTTCGCACGAAGTCTCCTAATTCTGCTCCATACGTTTCAGGCACTAACGCAAGCCTGTGTTGTACGCGACCCGCGCCCGCCCGAACCCTATCTCACGTGAAATTGCGCTTCCAACCTAGTCTGCTTGAGTACCTCAGAAGTCATACACGATCCTTCATTTTTCCCTGGTTCGCGCCACGCCTGCACGCTCGACCGCATGTGATCCGCCTTCCACGCTGCCTGTGCCGCACAAGTTCGATCAACCGCGTTTTACCAACCGTATCACATGACCGTGACCAGCACTTCCGAGAGCAGCCCGAATGTGAACGCATTTGCTCACGCGATCTACTCCTGCACAATCAGTGCTTATGACCCGCTTGTGCATAGCCCAAACCGACAGCTTGTGGCTCTGTTTTGCGCAGAAGGCTTCTTTGCTCGTATCTCAGGCACACGCAAAACCCGTCCTTCAAACACCTGCACTCGAACAGGAATTGGTCTGATTGCACCCGCATATCTTCCTTCGCGTATTGGGACGAACCACACAAACACCCGAACACAGAGAAATCTCCTCTTCATGTCGTCCCCGAAAAGTCCATGAAACTTGTCTGTGATATCAATTGCTGTGCAAATAACCACAGCAAAAATAAAAAAAACACACAATACAAACACAATTAACAGTGATTTATGTGTTTGGCAAAAGACGCCTACACCCATGAGGGGATGATTTTACTAATTTGATAAACAATAAGGAATTACAAAACTCTCGAGCTTTCTCTCAGCACAATAAACAACCCTCAATCCCCTTAAATAGATCTGAGGTAAAACGAATTAAGAAAAATATTCCTAATCTAATTCACAATCAAATTACCCAATTTGAAAAATAATAATCTCCATAATCAATTACAATAACGAGCATTTAAGCCTTCCGAATCAAGGCAAATATCCATTTGGAAAGTTACCAAATCAACACAAAGATAGATCAATGATCACAATGGTATCAACTTAATCAACCTCAAAACAGTTCAGGGCTCAACCCGCCCACCACCACTTGTGAGCTCCATGAAGCAGAAAGTCTATAAACAGTAGCAAGCCAAGGGACTAAAATTATCACATGAAGATCCCCGGAAACTGATAAAAAATGTGGAGTAGATCTATTGGAACATAGTTTGGTCTAATCTCAAGTCAACTACAATGCCAAATTTGGCAAAAATACAGGAGAAAACTCTGCAGCTCTAGCTTACACTACGCAATTGTATCATATACACTTTTAAGAGTATCATATACACTTTAAAGAGATGGTCACCTACAGAAGATATTAACAAGGAAAAAATAAATCACGTTAAGGAGATTAGATACATGGAGAAGTCAACTTCCTCCAGTCCTGTTTGTGGTTCCCTTGATTCCTCTTGCCACAGATCAACACGAACTCGCAGAAAATTATTCAAAAACAATTAATACGGAGAATGAACACCAGAAAATAGTTTGCTGATTAATTGTCCTCCGAGTTAAATTCCTCTATAAAGAAGGAAAACAAACCTCAGCCAATTAAATCCCCAGCTGTAATCAACCAATAACATAGGAAGACGCCTCTCTAGCTGAATGGAAGAATTCATAAACATGCAAAAGCTCTCGAGGCTCCTAGGGCTGAATAATACCAGTGGTAAAAGCTTACAGCCTTATGATGACCCAGATCTTCCTGATAGAATCATAGGTAGGACATAAAAATTCAGTAATCAATGCTAGGCAATGGCATCTTCCAGTAATTCCATGAGTTGAAGTCTTCCTGCAGAGAGAGAAAAAAAAAACCTCAAAAAATAATTATGTTAAAATTCTCATCAGCCCAAACATAAAAGGATAATTGTAATTTAACATAAATCTTATGAAGATTGTTAAGACAGTTTTATGAAATAAGATGTGAGATATTATCTTGAAAGTTCATTGATAACATACATTGAGAAGAATATTTTAATGTGTTTTGAGATAGAATCAATGATGTATGATTTTAATATAATAAAGATGCACCAGATATAATTTAAGATATTTAATCACAATAGTAAAATTCAATATAATATATATATATATATATATATATAATATATATTATATATATAATATAATTATATATATATATATATATATATATATATATATATATATATTAAGCTTTGTAGGTTGTTATTATTTACAGTTTTTATTTAATCCTTTTTGGTATACTTATCTGAGTTCAGAAAGTAAAACTTCTAATTTCAATTGGTTAATTGCTTGAATGTAAAATCAGCATATAAGCCATATTGAAACGATTGGGTAAGTTGAAAACACACTAAGCAGATTTAGTCATAGATTGAACTTCACAATAAAATACCCCTAGGGGTTCAAAGGCTCCGCCCCAAAAGATACCCAATATTTGTGATTTTCCCATCAAGTGCATTTTGGAGATTTTTACTATATTTTATTGGCACTCTAAGTTTTTCGTTATGAGAAGAGTTCCAACTAATGTATGTATCCATGAGAAATTATAGTTTGTGATTCTCCACAATCATTAGTAAAATTTGTAACAACCATAATAATATGTAGTCCTCAATTGAACTCTTTATAAAATTCTCGTGTTTTTCGTGTGCAGATTTTTTTTTCTGTTTTCCTTTTTATTTTTCAGTTGTGTTTGCACAAATTTCACCTATTCCCAAAACATGAATCATTAATCAAAAAATATGATATCCAAATTAAGCTAAAGCATTAGCGACTAGTACTTGAAACAGCATCAGTTCTAAATTTGGTTTGCAGTTTGCCACAACCAAATGAACCCTGAACTACAAACCTGCTCGATCAGTGAGGTTGGGGGGAACATGTCATTGACTAAGGTATGCAAGGAAGTATAGGATTTCACATCAATGCAATTATTGATCGCAACTTCACCCTGTCAGTTTTTGAGATACATATTAGATGGATAGCATGTCACAATACAAATCTTGCATTGAAACTACATTAGAAGAATAGAGATACCTTCGGATTGATAATAAATATTTTTCCTTTGGCGATTCCAATTTTTCTGTAACTAAGCTCGTCAGTGTCTCTGTTCCCAAAGCCAGCATAGAATGGGTTGTAATCAGATGGAAAAAGTGCTCGAATGTCCTGTCAAATTTAAAGAGAATCTCAAAATAAGTAACAAACAACAAAGCAAAGGCCCGTCAAAGTAATGAAAAGGGATTTAGTTATTCAAAACTAATAAATGAGAGAAATTATCACGGTTTACATAGAAGAACTTAAATCCGAAAAGAAAAAAAAACTTAAAAGACAAAAACCAATTATTTTTTGCCAATTATATAGAAAAAAAAGTCAATTGATCCCAGGATTATTATCCGGAGGGGCTATACATTCAACTTAGTCTATTGACTCTATTGACTCTTCAAATATGATCTAAAATTAATCCCTTTGACTTCTCAAATTTGATGAAAAATAATCGAATAGGACTATTTTGAATTATAAATTAAACGCTGGGACTGAAATAGTCTCATAAAACTTGATCAGGGATCATTTTGACTTTTTCTCTCATTATAAATCATGGTTTTGTACCACCTAATATACTAGAGCAATAATTGAAATTTTAATACTTTCATAGTGAATGCATCAACACCTCCATTGCACGGGGCAAATTATTGCATCCGGTCACCAGACACGGAAAATAGGTTTGGACATCCAATAAAAATTTGTCACGTCACATGTGCTTTAGTTGCGCTTTTGACTGCACTTTGACCTGCGCTTTACCTGCGCTCTACCTGAGCTTTACCTGAGCTTTACCTGTGCTTTACCTACGCTTTTGATGCGCTTAATTTAAAATAATATTTTATTAATATCCGGACCTATCTCCACGTCCGGTGACCATATGCAATAATTTGTCATTGCACGAACTCAACATGCACTGGCTATATCCTATTTTTGCTTACATAAAGAATTAAAATAAACAAACTATTAAAACTAAATGAGCTATGTCGAAGAAAGATCAGATTAGGAGGTGTGGCAGGAATGCTAGATAAGAGAAATTAGAGGCCACAGATTCATGGCTTACAAGGAAATATCTCTCTCACAGATTCATATGCAAGAAAGGAAAGAAATAGCCCACTGATTGCTCCATTGGCACGTCCCCTAAATGCATCACATGGAGGGAAAAACTGCTAGAGGTAGATAGCTTGAGGCATTTTTTTATTTTTTTGTATTAGTTATTGTAATTATTTATTTGTTTTTTCTTTCTTATATATAAAATTGTGTATAAATACTCATTCAAAGAAAAAAAATTTAAGCTATCCAAGCCACTTCTTTCTACATGGTATTAGAAAAAGGTAATGATTCCCTTTTTCCAATCTCAAGTCTTCCTCTCTTATATTATTTTTCTCTTCACTATCTCCGATTTCTTTGATTTCCCTTCAAATGAGTCAACAATCATGAATGGTGAAAACTAGATAAAACGAGAGCTTTAGGGGATACATGCATCCTATTGCTTGAATGGAAGAACTTACCTGAAGCGGTACCAAATTATGAAGATCTTTCTATTATGAAAGGAAAAAATCTAGCATCTTATGGATCCCCTCTTCCAGAGCCAAAAGATCAAACGTTTGCACTTTAGGATGAAATAGATTCATCACATGATTATGGAACACGATGATGTCTAAAATAAATTGGTCATACATATTTTTAACAAATGAAAAAGATGTTTGAGATGCTGTCAAACAAACATACTCATAAGTTAAGGTGCTAATATCATCTATGAGATCAAAACTAAGATCTCAACAAGCAAGCAAGATAACCTCTTAGTCATTGAATATTTTTAATGCAATAAAGGTTTGTTGGCTTGAACTAGGCTATTATCAAGATCTCAAGATGATGTGTAATTATGATACAGTGACTCTCAAACAGTTTGTGGAAAGCGATAGGATTTTTTTATTTCTTGAAGAATTTAATAATGAATTCGATCAAATTCATATTCAGATCCTATGCAAAAAAAAAACTACCATCTATAAATGAAGCCTTCTGATGCAATCATAATTTTTGTATTTTCATTTTTGAATATTGAACATTAGTTTTCTAATTTAGTTTTATATTTTTTTTAGCTATCCAATGATGGTAAAGCATCCAATGATCATGGTAGGTTGTGCTTGGGCTTGGTAGACCTTAGTTTGCTAGCTTGATGGATCCTTGGGCTGCTGATGGTTCTCGGGTTGGCTTATGGTTCTCGGTTTGAGCTTTACTCTCTAAGTTGTTAGCTCATTAATGTGGAGCTGAAGTTTAGTTCAATCATTGGGAGATTTATTGAACTACCTAGCTCATTAATCTAAAAAGGTATGCTCTTAAGTCTTGGATTCATTTTGGAGTGGACTTGTCTTTTCTCCTCCCCCTTTTCTTCTCATTTCCCTGAGCTGGGTGATTTCCCGTGCTCTGGCCCTTGGGTTTCTGAGAATGGCTGTTGGTTTCCTGTGCTGGGAGGTTTTCCCGTGCCTTTGACCCCTTGGTTCCTGTGGTTGGCTATTCAGTTTTGCGGTTCCCTGCTTGGTTCCGTGGATTTCCTTTCTCTGTTTTGCTGCACCGTTTGGGATTTGTTATTATGGCAGTTGGCCTTTCATTTCCTTAATATTATTGGCTTATTGGGTGGTGCTTTGGTTATTGTGTTCTCCTCTCTAGCCTATATATTGAAGATGTTTTTTGAGGAGAAAGGTTGTTGAAAATTGTTGAGCTTAGTCTCTTAAAACCTGAGTGTTTTCTCTTCTTGGAAAAGCTTGAGAGCTTTGTCCACTACTTCTTCTCCTCTATTTCGTCTGGGCTTCTTACCTCTTTCTTCTCTATGCAAGTTCCACTCCATTTGTATCCTTCTTCTTGAGCTGAGGTGATATTTGTTGGCTTATTTGGGAGCATTTGCTGGAGAAGTTTGGATTGGACGTTTGGACTATCTTGCTGTGGTGGACCATCGGTTTGCTAGCCCTAAGCACATATTTTACTTAACTTACATTTTGATGCATGTGAGGAAACCGTTATGTCGGTTGTTCTGAGGATAGCGACTTTTTTTATTTATTTCTTTTGTTTCTTTTGACTTCTCTTCTAGTTTTTATCCGTCATTTTTTGTGCTAATAGATGATTGCTACTATTTGAATCGAGTTTGGTTATAGTTTTGCACATTGTTCTCCTTTGTGGCTTTTCTATCTAGTGTGCTTGCATCACCTTTTCAATCATACAAGCCGAAGAAGAAAGAATAATGTAATGCATAACACTTATCCCATATGAAAACCACTGAACCTCAAGGTGAAGATTTATTGCCGCTATTTCTTTCAAAAAAAAACAAGAACAAAAATCTTATAACATGGAGAAGTAAGAAATAATTTGTCATTTCAAGATCTAGAGCCAAATCCAAATTCAAAGCACTTGCTCAAGATATCAACGAACTACAATAGATTAAAATGTTCTGGGTGATTTAAAAATCTGATGGGAAGAGCCTATAAAGATATACTGCCCAAATAAATTGCCATAACATTGCTTACAATCCTGTACAACATGGTCGTACCAAATGTGTGAAAGTGGATAGACATTTCATGAAATAAAAATTAGAAAGTGGATTGATCTACAATCCATATGTCCCAACAGGAAGACAACTTACTAATATATTCACCAAAGAGCTTAACAACCTTACATTCAAAAATGTAATAAGCAAACTTAAAATAGTAGATTTCAACCATCCAGTTTACAAGGGAGTGTTGAAGAGTCATTAAATTAAGAGAAGACAGTGGGAGCACTAGATAAGAAAATTAGAGGTCATAGATTCATTGCTTACAAGGAAATACCTCTCGCACAAATTCATATACAAGAAAATAAAGAGATAATCCATGAATAGCTCTCTTGGAATCAATCGGTTAATGGATCAAATGGCGGGTGAATCTGTTGAAGGCGATTTGTGAGGGTCTTTTTTTATTGTAATTATTTATTTTATTTTCTTCTATGCAGCTTTATGTATAAATACTCATTGAAAGAATCAACAATATAAAGATTTCTTGTCACTTCTTATTTTATATCAGCTACATAATTAGGTAGGCAGAGTGAAGCTGGACTCATATTCTTAAAATACCACCACACAATACGATTCTAGGATGAAAACCGAGCATGTAGAGTAAGAACTGATCTCGGGTATCTTAGTCTCTTTCGATTAACACAAACAACCATTCAAATAAACCGAGTAAACAAAAAAAATATTTTACATAAAAAATCGAGAAAAAAAAAAAGGAAAGAAAAAAAATCATAAGGCTATGCCTAAATGAATAGCTTTCAACAACATCAAGCCTTTATCCCACTGTGTGGGTTCGGCTACATAACTCATTTTCTCCATTGTGTCGTGTTAAAAGTTAAATTCTCCTTTAAATCTAATAAAGAAATGTCATTTCTAATATTTTCTAACCAAGTCCTTTTAGGTCTACCTCTTCCTTTTTTAACGTAAGTCAAATTTAAAACATCTACTTTCCTAAGTGGGTCATCAGAAGGCCGCCGTTTTATGTGACCAAACCATCTAAGGCGACTCTCTCTAATCTAATCTTCCACCAGAGCTACTCCAACCTTTTCACGTATATGCTCATTTTGAATCCTTTCTCTAAGAGTAAAGACACTCATCCACTTGAGCGTCCTCATCTCTACAACACTTAACTTAATATTATGCTTCTCTTTTAATGGCCAACATTCTGCACCATAAAGCAAAATTGAGTAGCTTTCACTAGTATAAAATAGGATCACAAAATATCGCCCCTCGACAAAATTAGAGAAGGCTTCAAAAAAATATAAAAGAATAAGTTATTGGTTAAATCAACAATAGCGACAAAGGATAGTGATTAGCATAACATGAGGTACCAGAAATGCAAGTCTCACAAGGATGATTGTGTTGAAAATCTTGGAGGAGGCAACTGAGGTGCATTCAATTGTTGTCATTTAGGCCTTGCAAATGACAATGTCAACATGCACCTCATTGCACTGTCGAACTTGATGAACAATTGTGATAGAGGTCACGATGCGATGAATCTTACAACGCAATTGAAGGATGAGACATAAGCTCTATTTGATGATGATGTAGCTTAGAATTCTTAGATGATCCAAGTGATCTTCAAGGCTTAAAAATATTTTTCCAAATGAATTGAATGAT